AAAAATTTTCATAATAATAATAATAATATTCATTAATATTATTATTAGTAATAAATAGTTATAATAATGATATTATTATTATTATTAATTTCGTCACACCGTAATAACCCAACACATCGTCGTCGTCATCTTTTTCATCTTCTTCTTTATTCTCACCATCATAATCTGTGCCACCGTCACTCACACACACATACACACACACGCACGCACACACACACACACACACGCACACTTCGTCACACAGATTGTTTGATGATGAAGACTTGTTAAGGAGAGAACCTTTAAGATCTTGACACTGTCATACACCAATACACACACGCACATATATACACATACACACACATACATATACACTAACACACACATAAATTCACATAACCACACACACACACACACACACACACATACTAACACATAATGTCATCTTCAAATTTTAACATCATCATCGTAGCTTACTCGACATTGTTAAGACAACCATATCATCATCTATAAAAATACATCAACAGTAGCTAGATCACCGCCATCATTTTCATTATCACCATCATCTTCCTCTTCATCGTCATCATCAGCTCTATCATCATCAGCTTCATCATCATCGTCACCATCATCATCATCATCACCATCATCTTCAACATCTTTTACGACAATTCAAACGATAAACAACAGCAACTCAACTTGGGTGTCTCCAGTCATTAATTAACTAATCAAGTTAGCATCGTTGTTGTTGTTGTTGTTGTTTTTGCTGTTGTTGTTGTTGTTTTTAGCTGTCACCAATGTTATTATTTTAGTGAATGCAATGCTAATGTTATGCTAATTTAATGTTAATGTCACGCTAATATGCTAATATACAGTTAATGTAATGCCGATGTAATGTCATGTTAGTGTAATGTTAACGTACAGTTAATGTTATTTAGACTCACGTTATTATTATTACTATTATATTTAATGTAATTACTGCTTTTGACTTTGAACAAGAGAGTCACTTTTATGTAGCTCACTGTTTATTTTAGCAATATAAGGTTTTATAACGTGTTATATATTTAAATTTTATATCAAATTGTAGGAAAATTGATAAAAAAAATGGCTGTGTTTTTAAAATTTGGTTTTATCGATTATTTTAAATTTAATAGTCTAATTAGTTTAATTTTAATTTCTTTTAACAATGTAAACGCAACAATTTGCCCATATTGCTATAAGGACTTTAATTTTATTAATAGACACTCCTGGCGGTGTACAGCAATTCATTCTAACTCTAATGAAAATATTTCACCAAACAATAACGTTAACATTTCTTCCAATTTATTAACAAATAATAATAATATTTTACCTGATAATTTAAATAATATGATGACTTGTTGTTGTGGTAAAACTTGCAAGGGTCGGATGCATCAAAGATCATGTAAATCGTACAAATCGCTCAGATCCACGAAGTCCAAAGTGGAACCAGTCGACAGCGGTGACAACAATGCAACAACATTTCAACACACATCAGATTCAACAACTATTCCAAAACCACTACCGGGTATAAAACTACCCAAATCGTCAACACTTTGGGCTGAAGCCAACGCATTTTTTCATATTGAACTAAAACGTCTTGATAACTGTGCTGATGTTGACAACTTCGCCATCGTATTTCAAAACATACTTTACTCATATTTTGCGTCAAATTATGGAACGTTAACAAAAGATTCAACACCCAAAAAGCACAAAAATTGCAATATTAGACATTTAAAAACAAAATTAAAAAACTTAAAGACATTGGCTCAGTCAGATAGCCAACTCAACAGTGACGTCATCAAGCTCAGTAGGCAGATAAGGGCAACATTAAAAACTAATAAAGTATCTAAAAATAAAGACAACATTTCAACTAAACTGAAACAGAACTTCTGGAAAACATGTAATAATATTTTTAACAAATCTAATTCTCAATCGCCACTCTTCAACATGGAAACAGCAACTAACTTCTTTAAAAATAATCTACTAAACGCAGGTGATCGTACCACGTTTTGTCTCCCAAATTGGATCCCTCTCCTTCCTTCTCCGTCGTTTCAAGGAAATTTAAATCCGCCAACCTACAATGAGATTACTGCAATTGTGAAGAAAAGCAAAGCAAAGGCATCTCCTATATCATCAAACGAAACAAAGTATATCATGATACATCATGATATGATATGATATATATTGCAAGATTGTCCTTGGTTAATTTTACACACTGTAGGTGTGTCATGCTTACATTATGTTATTTATTAATAAATAGATAATTCGTTAATTTATATACGTTCATGTTTTCATTCATTCATTGCGTTGTCTTTTCTTCTTTTTATGAATTTTTGAATTTTATGAATTTGTTTTTATTATTTATTTATTATTTGTTATTATTATTATTATTATTATTTATTATTCGTTCAATCCTCATCTTTCCGATAGAAACTTAATTTGTCATCATCGTCGCAATCATCTGACACATCATCAATATAGATAGATTATGTTTTATGTTGATTGATTGATTGAATGATTGATTGATTGATTGATTGATTGATTGATTGACTGATTGACTGATTGACTGATTGATTGATTGATTGATTGATTGATTGATTGATTGATTGATTGAATGATTGATTGATTGAATGATTGATTGATTGATTGATTGATTGATTGATTGATTGATTGATTGATTGATTGATTGATTGAATGATTGATTGATTGATTGATTGATTGATTGATTGATTGATTGATTGATTGATTGATTGATTGATTGATTGATTGATTGATTGATTGATTGATTGATTGATTGATTGATTGATTGATTGATTGATTGATTGATTGATTGATTGATTGATTG